TGGGGGGAGGGGCGGACGCACGCACGGAAGCGTTGTCTCCTGGCGAACGCGCGTCCGTTTTCACTGCCGGGGATTTCGGTGGTGGTCTCTCGTGTTCCGACAAGAGGGGAACGGGCGAGCGTCTGTGCGATTGGTCTTACTGGTCTAAGTACATTGAAGCTCGCCTAGTTTTCTTTCCCCTAGCCTTATCTCGCAAAGTAAGCAAAATCTGCTGGAGAAGAGTGAGTGATGGCTGCTTGTTTTGTGAGGGGAGCCTGTTCAAGTTCTTACATAAAGAACATGGACTATGGGAACTATGGCACTTTAGAGAATTTGTTTCCCCTCCCTCGTGCCTGATACTTAGTTGCCACAACGTGTTCTGTTGTAAGTGAAAGTTAATCGAAAAGTGGCTGTTTCTCTGAAAGCATAGCTTCTTCAGGAAGCTAAAATACTGTTTTGAAGGGTTGAATATAATAAATGATTATTATTTTTTTTTAAGTCAAAAAGGCTCAAAATTGCTTGTATTATGTTGATATTTTTTTTGGTTAGTGGAAAGGTAGAAGGCCAGCCCAATGGTGACACAATCCCAGCTGAGCAAGCCAACCCTTCAGATGACACTGTTGCTGGTGCTGGGAGTCGTCAGAATGATCAGATAGTGCAGAAAATAGAGGAAGTGCTCTCTGGAGCCCTTGGTACAGAGCTGCAGTGCAAATCAGGTAAATGAAAAAACATTTGGCAAATATATTTTTGTATAAGAAGGTTGTCATAGTGCTTGAATCAGTTTTACAGAGATGAAAAAGTACTTTTCAGTACTGCTTCTCTCACTGAGCTTCATCTGGCAAGTATGTTTATTGTAATGTTTGTTAAGCATATTTTTTTCTACTGTGATTTACAACTGTAGATGGACAGAGAAATACATAATTAAAAAATTGAAGCTGGTTATTACATGAAAGCATTACATAGTGTGCAAAAAGTTATTTTTATTTTCTCTCCATTACAATAATAGTAGAATGTATAAATAATAGCCATATATATAAATATAATTGTGCTTTATTTTGTATATACTTCAAGGTCTCAGCAACAAAGTTGGTACTGATGGATAGAAGCATTATTTGTTGTGTTGTTTTGGATTAGTTTGCAAGATTTTTTCTAAAAATTGTGTATTAGCATTCAAAACTGTATGATGAACTGTCAGAGTAACATGCTTTGTTGTTTTAGAATGAACAGTGCACTTACTTTTGAAATATAGATGCTCAGATTGCAATCTTCCAAAGGCCAAGAAATTTTTTATCTATCGAGCTCATAACTTCAACACATTACTGGATTTATTATGCCAAAAAGTTGCATATGAGTATCTCTTCTAATGGGACTAGGCCTTTCTGGAAAATTTCTGAATTGGAAAAGTTAGTGAGATGAAGGCTGTAATTATTTAATTTCTAATTTATTTTTTTTTGAGTTGAAATGCAGGTAACTGCTGTGTGCTTGGTAAGTATAGTTCCAAAGTGATTTTTTTTTTTAAAGAGGCAGTGTAGAAAATTTTTTATTTCAGAGGTTTTACTTGCAAGGTTTTAGAATTGTTTTTTCTTTCTTTTATGCACAGTGGCTTGTTTACCTTGAGCATTTGTAACAGTCTTTCACTTACGCTGTACAAGTAGCACTTTAGGCTGGCATCTGGCAGATTTTTATTTGTATTTTTGCTCTCCTGTTGTGGAAGAATGAGGCAAGCTAACGTCGTAAATAACAAGACCTATTAACCTGGAATTTAATAAAATTACTATGGTAAACATTTCCACTGTTCATATCTAGAAAGGAGTTAATGTTGCTGTTGGGCAGCAGAGGTTATTTGAAAATGCTGTGTAGAAAAGGTCATTTGACTCTGCTTCATTGTTCTCTTTCATTGCATTCACGACAGTGTTGATGGAAACACTATTTTTTAAGCTGTTTACTCAGTAAAAATTTGTGTGCTTAAAACTACCTGAGATAATTGTTTATGGAATCTTAAGTCATGTTCACTTAATAGCATTGCAATCACTGACAGTTTTTGAATGATTTTGCATTGTTTACCTAAAAGAGTAATCACAGCCAGATTATAATCTGAGAATCCATATTGCTGCACTGCCAAGTATAAATATAGTCATTGAAGATAACATGCAAGCAGATTTGAATATATGGCTCATATTTATCAGAAAGTATAACAAGTTGCCTTTAATAGAAGTGACTTTCTCATGAAAACGTGGCCCTAGATCTGAAGGGTTAGAACGTAACACAGGTTAAATTCAGAGGGAAATGAAGTATAGAATTAAAAGAAGTTGATCAAAACCTTGGTTTTCCTCTTTTCTTTCCTCCTCAGTGACTGGTTGTCCTTGCATTCACCTGAATGTTAGGTACTTTCCTCTTTGAAGCAAAAGCTCTCTTAAGTACTTGCAGGTTTGTAGTTGCTTGCGGCAGCTGCAGTCCAGTCTGAGCAGCTGGTTGCGTGCAGTGCCTTAAAGCTTGTTTGGAACTGGAGTAGTAGACGCTGTTTCCCCAGAATTGTTTGAAGAACTTGGTCAGCAAGGAACTTAATCAGTAAATATGCTTAGATAATTTCTAACATGCTAGTAATATTGGGGTCACTCACAAGTTAAAGCATAGTAGGGGATAATGGGCCGAACATATTTCATACAATTAGCATACTGCCAGTTAGATAATTTGCCTGGAAAAATGGGAGTTCTTGTTTCACTTTCACATGCAGCTTGATGTAGTTTAAAAGGACATCTCCAGCCTCCTGCAAGAATGTGCTGCCTAGCTGAATATAGGTGGAAGTATATCGCACTATCTCTTGGAAAAAGTCATGTTCCCACTGGAACTGTGTTAATGACCAAGAAGATTTGGTTAACTTTGTGGAAGAAGAATTACTTATTTTTACTTAAAGTGGCTCCTCAGAGGAAGGGTAGGAGGGCTGAAAAGGGATTGTGTGCTATTTGGGTATGGTAGTTTAGTAAAGAAGGCATGAGTTTCAAGTTTAAATTTTTTCTAACTCTGTCCGTGTACTTGGTCACTAGTCTAAAAGATTTTTTTGAACATGTTTTAATAACACTTACAAGGAAAATATCATTTTTTTCCTAGATGTAGACAATAATGCTGTGAAAAATAGTGCTCAGTCTACAAAAAGAAGCTCTACTGCTGAAGATGAAATTCCTAGGAAAAAATCAAAGAAGAACAAGAAACACAAAAGTAAAAAGAAGAAAAAAAAGAAGAAGAAAAGGAAGAAAGAGAAAAAGCATAAAAAGCAGCCAAAGGAGTCAAAGTTGAGTGCACATCATGGAGAGCATGCAGACGCTCAGCATGCTTTTCACTTGATGCCAGAGAAATCAAGCTCCAAATTGAGTGTACAGCATGGGGGATTTGGAGATGCAAATCTGGCTGTCCACGTGCAGCCCGAAGAACTGTGCTTACAAGCAAGTGGGGAGCTTGATAGACAAACTTTAGGACTTGTTTCTCATTCAAGAACCGATTCTCAGCAATCTACAGAAAATCTTGGAAGTGAGAAGGGGACTTTGTGTGCCACAGGTCCTCCATTTAATTTAGAAGTCAGCCAAACTGATATCCAAGAAAATGCTAGTATAACTCAAATTTGCACTAGAGAAGAACAAATTAAACAGTCTCATGAAAATATTTGTCCTATGGCTATTAATGTGAGTGGAAGGGGTGTTCTTGTTGATACTGGAAATACTACTTTTTCTGGCATCCCATTTGGAGTTTCTGATTCAGCAGCAGCTCTACCTTCAAAGGCAATAGAAGCACTAAAAGGTTCAGAAGTAAAAGGCACTGAGGAAGTAAAAGCTTTTGGTACAGCTGAGAGCATGGAAGTGCTGAAATATTCGGAAGCATCTCTACAATCTGTGGCACTAGGGGGAGCAACTTCAGAATCTGTGTCTTTAGTAAGTGATGTGACAACAATTCCTAAATCTGCTAATCAGGCAGATCTGAATACTGTGAAGATAACTCACATGTCTGTGGCCATGGAAGAAGTGCAAATTCCAATGGAAAAATCTCTGCATATGGGAGATGTGAGAAATGTGGAAAGATCTTTGGAATTAGGTGGTGTGAGCAGAACTTTGGAGCCAGCCCTGAAGACCTCAATGATACATGATAATATGAGAGCAATGCAGTGCAGCTCCATGGAGGGTTCAGGTGTCTTGAAGACTGATGTATCTTTGCAACATCCTTTTCAAGTATCTGCAGTGACTGCTGTGCCCCAGGTGGAAATAAAAATTGCCACAATACCCCCGGGACTAGGAGCTTTTGTTACACAAGTGAAGGATATTGAACCAACTAGAGGCTCTGCACATATGGAAAATGTGAAAGCTTTGGAAGAAGCTCTGCAGCCAGTTGCTGTAGCACAGCCCAAAACTTTGGAAACTATCATGGAACCTGTTGGTGTTACAGCAAAAGATGTCAAAGCAGCTGGAGAATGTCTGCAGGCTGAAGTAGTCAGAGATGTGGAAGGTACCGCTGACCCTACAGCAGCATTCCGGCAGCCTAAAGCCTGGATAGAAACAAGAAGTGTGGATAGAAGTCAGGAATCTGCACTTCCAGCAGAATGGACAGATATGAATGTGGTTGCAGAGGCAAAAGGTTTAAGAGCAGCTTTTGAACCTCTAGCGTTTGTGCAGACCTCACTTCCCCAAACAGCTCCGGAAGTCCAGATGGCAGAGAATTTTAAAGGCCCACGAGCAACAGTGGAAGTTGCAGCACTAACAAGTCAAGCTACTCTGCAACTGGAAAATACTATTGCTTCAGAAATTTCAGATTCTGCTTCTAAGCCAGTGGCTGTAACAGAGGCAAAAGTTTCAGAAGGTACTTCATTACTGAGACAACCAGAGGAGCTGAGCTCAAGATCTGAGAGTGAATCAAATGTGAGAGGTTTGGAAGCGGCTTGCCTGTTTTTGCAGAAAGAATATGTGAGAAGTCCAGCAGTTCTAAGACCAATGGCTGTGGTGGAAGCAAAAACTTCGAATGCAGCTTCACTGTCTTTGCAAATGGAGGATGTGAAAGCTGCAGAAGAAGCTGTGCATTGTGGAACTCTGGCCGGATCTGTGCGACCAGTGAAAAGTTTGGAAACAACTCTAAGACTTGTAGCAGAGACAGAAAGGAAAGGTTTGGAAGAAGGAGAAAATGTGTGTTCTGAAACCAAAATAGGTAGCAAGGTTAGAGAGTCTGAGGCATTAGCAGGAGTGATGCATTTGCAGACCACAGCAGAGAGAGAACCAAAACATGCAGAAACAGTTGCAGAACCCCTTGGTGCAAGCAAAACAAAGAGTTCCATCATTTCACAGTCTCAGGTCATGGCACATACAGTAACGTCACAAACTGAGGTGGTAGGGGAGATAAAGGATTCTGAACTAGCTACCAGTTCTGAGGTGGTTAGGGAAATGAGGCATTCTGAAATTGCTCCAGAAGATCCAAGCAGAGCAGAGGCAAGGAGCAGAGAGGCAATACTAGAACCTGGGCAAACAGTGATGGTGGGGACTTCAGAAACAAGTTCAAAATATGTACAAGAACAAATGCTAGGTCATTCAAAAGCAATATTAGAATCTTTGCCTGAAGTGGAAGAAAAAGCTATGGTATCAGAAGTAGTGACAGGAATGGGAAACTTAAAAGAAATTTTGGATATGAGAACTCAGGGACCTCCCGTAGAATATGTAATTGCAACAAGGAGAACAACCACACAAAAAAATGAGCCCTCGTTTACCAATTTAAAAGATTTGGAAGAAGCTTCAGAAATTGAGAAAGCAATGAAAGCAAAATATTTGGAGCCAGCATCAGAAGCTAGCAAAGGGAGGTTGTTGGAAAGTATGAAACAGTCTGCAACAATAGAGGTGAGAGGCTCTGAAGTAGTCAAAGAACCCGAGGTACACATGGATATCCAAGGTTTGGAAACTTCCCAAAAGTCTGGAAATGCAGAGGTGATGAACATTTTAGAGGGTGCTTCAGAGGCCGTTCCAGAATTTTTGCACACTGAAAAGCAAGAACATCTGCAAGCAACTCTAGAAGCAAGGCCTGCTGCAGAGTGGAAGAGTACAGAAGAGGCTCCAGAAGTCTCGAGTGCTGCTGAATTGACATCTTTTTACACAGTTTCAAAACCAGAGTATATGAAAGATCTGGAAACAACACTGGAACATGAAGTGACAGCAGAAGTACAATATGCAGAAGGGGTACAGGGTCAACAAATGGAGGATGTGAGAGTTGCAGGCCAAGCCCAGGAATGTGAGGTACTGGTTGAGGAGAAAGATGCAGAGCAAACTCCAGGGTCTGAGCCTTTAATAGCAGAAACAGTTTTTAGTTCTTCACATGTAGTAGATGGAAAAGATTCAGCAGGGACTCCTGAATCCGAAATAATTGGAGACACAAAACAGTTGGAAGCAGCTCCAGCTCATGTGCCAGAAACAAATGATTTGGAAACAACTCCTCTTGCTGACAGTGTTGTAGAGCTGAAAGATGCAGAAGTGACTGTGGGGTTGGAGGCAGAGGAAAAAGATTTGGAAGCAGCTCCAGTACCTGAGACTATTACTGAAGCAGCTCCGGTACTTGTGGCAGAGGCAGGCCAGTCAGAAGTTACTCCACAGGCTGAGGCTGTCAAAGAAACAACTCCAGAACAGGAGTCGGAGAAAAGAGATTCAGAAACGTCCGATGTGCAACCTGATGTGGCGGCACGAATGAGGGAGACTCTGATGAGACTTGAGAAAGTTATTGAAAAAAGCAGCCATAGAAGCAGTGATAAAAAACATGATGCAAAGAAAAAAAGGAGTCGCTCCAAGTCTCAGTCCAGGTCTAGGAAGCGGAAGAAAAAATCAAGGTCACGTTCTACTTCCAGGCGTTTGACCTCTAAAAGAGCACGTTCCAGGAGCAGAAACTATTCGGATTCCAGAAAAAAGCATTCCAAATCTAGATCCCGATCTGTGGAGAAGAGAGAGAGGAGAGTGTCTTCCCGGAGGTCCAGGCGCAGACGTTCCAGGTCATCTGACCACTATAGGTCTAAATCCAGATCAGCAGAAAAGAGAGGGAGCAGATTGTCCTCTGGGAGGTCCAGACGTAGACGTTCCAGGTCTTCTGACCACTATAGGTCTCAATCTAGATCAGTGGAAAAGCGACTGTCCTCTCGAAGGTCCAGACGTAGACGTTCCAGGTCTTCTGACCGCTACAGATCTAAGTCCAGATCAGTGGAAAAGCGTCTGTCCTCTCGAAGGTCTGGGCGCAGACGTTCCAGATCTTCTGACCGCTACAGATCAAAGTCCAGGTCAGTGGAAAAGCGACTGTCCTCTCGAAGATCTGGGCGCAGACATTCCAGGTCTTCTGACCGCTACAGGTCTAAGTCCAGGTCAGTGGAAAAGCGACTGTCCTCTCGAAGATCTGGGCGCAGACGTTCCAGGTCTTCTGATCGCTACAGGTCTAAGTCCAGGTCAGTGGAAAAGCGACTGTCCTCCCGAAGATCTGGGCGCAGACGTTCCAGGTCATCTGACCGCTACAGGTCTAAGTCCAGGTCAGTGGATAAAGGAGGGAGCAGATTGTCCTCCTGGAGATCCCGCCGCAGACGTTCCAGGTCCTCTGACCGTTCTAAATCTAGATCCAGGTCTTCAGAAAAGAGAGGAGGCAAAGAATACTCATGGAGATTCAGAAATAGATCTATTTCTTCTGATCGTTCAAAATCTAGGTCAAGATCTGTTGAGAAGAGAGGTCGGAAGGCATCCGTGCGGAGGTCTAAACGTCAGCGCTCAAAGTCCTCTGACCGTTACAAGTCTAGATCCAGATCAGTAGAAAAAAGAGATAGAAAGCAGTCATCGCGGAAGTCTAAACGTCAGCGCTCAAAGTCTTCTGACCGTTACAAGTCTAGATCCAAATCATTGGAAAAAAAGAAGGAGTCCTCCCGAAAATCTAAGCGTCGCCGCTCAAAATCATCTGAACGTTACAAGTCTAGGTCTAGGTCTGTTGAAAAGAAGCGCAAGGAATCTTCAAAAAAATCCAAACGGAAGCGTTCCAAGTCCTCTGATAGTGTTAAGTCAAGGTCCAAATCTATAGAAAAAAGAGAGAGTAAGCTATCTTCAGGAAAGGGCAGTAGCAAGCGTGTGGTGTCTTGTGAACTTCAAGAGTCAACCACATGCCTTGAAAAAGTAGATGTTCCTGAACCTTCTTTTGCAAGTGAAGGCAGCACCTCCAAATCCTCTAATGGTCCCATGTCAGCAGCTTTGTCCGTTGAAGGCGTAAATGGCCCAGAGCTGCCTCCAGCATCTGAAAGTGGATTTTCCAAACCTTCTGATAGTCTTGAGGAAAGCTCCTCATCTGTTGAAAAAACAGTGGGTCTGCAGCCTTCTGTGATGTCTGAACTCGATAGCTCTAAAACCCCAGATGACCAGGAATTGGGATCCATGCCTGTGGATAAAACACAGGTTTCAGAGCTTTCTGTGACGTCTGAAAATGGATCAGCTGAAACAGCAGTGTCTCTGGAGTCTTCATCACTACCTGAACTTACATACTCCACATCCAAGTCAAGATCTTCATCTGTTGAAAAAAGGGGAGATCCAGAAACTTCTTCAGTAACAGAATTTCAGCTCTTTACGTCCCATGAAGACCAGTCGAGATCCACCTCTCTCAAAGAAATAGAGGGTCCAGAGCCTCTTCCGACACTTGAAAGTGGGTGTTCTGTATCTTCTGATGATTACAAGACAATCTCCGTGTCCTCTGGAAAAATGGAGGTTCAGGGGTCTTCTCTGATGTCTGAAAGTGTACTCTCCAACTCATCTGATAGTTCTGAATTGAGACACATCCCCATTGAAAATACAGATCTTCAGAAGTTTTTGCAAGTCCCTGGAAGTGAATCTTCCAAGTTGGCTGACAGCCCTGAGTCAAGGTCACTATCTTTTGAAACAGTAGAGGCTCAAAAATGTTTTGTAGCACCTGGAGTTACATGTTCTGCGTTCCCTGATGACTGCGAGTCAGCCTCCTTGCCTATTGAAAAGGGGCAAATGCAGGAGCCTTCTCTGGCTTCCAACAGTGGATGCTTCAGGCCACCTGATGGATATGAATCAGGATCCAGCTTTGCTGCACACGTAGAGGAGCTTCCATTGATGTCTGAAGGTGGGTCCTTCAAGTCACCTGATGGAAATGAATCTGTTGAAAACACAGAAGTTCCAGGTGTTTCCCTGACATCTGAGTGTGGTTCCATTGGGATCTCAAATGACCTAATTTCAGCATCATCTTTTAAAAAGATGCAGGAAGTTGTACTGACATCTGAAGGACAAAGCTGCGAGTCTTCTGAAGTTTGTGAGTCCATGTCATCTGTTGACAAAGATTTAGACGGTCCGACACCTTCACAAGTACTTGGAATTGACTCCTCTGAATCTTCTGAAATTCATAAATCAAGGTACCTGCCTGCTGAAAAAATAGATGGTACAGAATCTTTCTTGATGTCTGAAAGTGGAATTCCCGTGTGCCATGATGGCCATAAATCAAAACACAATTACTTTGAGAAAACAGAAGGTACAGAACTGTCATTGGCATCTGAGCTTAGGTGTTCTGTCTTGCCTGAAGGCTATGAATTGACATCCACTGCAGTTGAAAGAACAGAGATACAGAAGCCTCCTCTCCCACTCGGAAGTGGATTCTCAGAGTCAGCTGATGTTTGTGAATCAGTAAGCACACCTACCGAAAAACTACAGGCCCCAGTGACTTCTCAGACATCTGTCGGTGGACTTTTCCTGTTGTCTGATAGTC